TACTTTAAATCATTCAAAATAAAGCATTTGAAAAACAATGAATACAAAGAGTGAAAAACAAAAAGCCTTTATCTACTTTATTTTTATGACTACGCATAGAGTTGATTCTATTGCTGTGTATTTGGACCTGGCAATCAAATGACAAACTGCCAACAGAGTAAAAAAGACATAAAAGATGAAACCACTATAAAATCCCACATGAGGAGTCAGGCGTGTACATATGTAGATATATACGAATGAAAGGCAGTAAGTAGGGGGGCAGACTGTGTTACAGGCTGACCTGTGTTCCTCTCAAATTCATCTGCTCACGTCCTAAATCCTGCTACCTCAGAGTGTGACTTATAGTGCAGGTAAGGCCGTTAATAGAGGTAATTAAGGTAAAATGAAGTCATTTTGGTGGGCCCTAATCCAATACAACTGATGTTCTTAAAAAAGGAGGAAATTAGGACACACACATACACAGAAGGAAGATCATGTGAGGCCACCTAAGGAAGACAGCCATCCATCAGCCAAGAGAGGGGCCTTAGAAGAACCCAACCCTGCCAACACTTTGATCTTACACTTCTAGCCTCCAGAATTGCCAGAAAATAAATCTTTGTTGTTTAAGCCAACCAGCCTGTAATTCTTTGCTACAGTAGCCCTAACAAATTAATACAAGCTAAGAGGAGGAAGTAGTCCTTGCTAGTTAAGAATTCACGCACTGTCAATGCTGTCCCAGAAATAAGAAGTCCTGTAACAGAAAAAAAAGGGTAGAGCTTTTGATATATAGTGATTATGCCTTAAATCACACAAGGAAAATATTTTTAAATAATAATAAGTATTTACAGGGGAAAATATAAGAAAAAATGAAGGGATACAATTTTTGCAATTAGAAAAGCACAGAAAAGGTTAATGCAGCATCAGTTTTGAAGAAAACCAAGAATAAAAAGAGAAGCCAACCAAGATGTATCCTCTGCCTGAAATGAAAGTTAACCAAAGAGTAAATGAATTATCTAAAAACAATCCAGCAAAGCAAGAGAGAGCAATGGAAGCAACTTCTAATAATTATTTAGAATTAAAAAGTTGCGTGTTATTTTATTTTAATGATCAGCTAATGAAATCCTTGATGACTGACAA